GTGTTGGTCCGTCCGCGACTCTCCATGCCCTCTTGGGACCCAGAGACAAAGAAAACCAGATTCTCCACCCGGCCCTCCTCCGGGAAAGGTGCATTCACCATCCCCCAAAGAGCAGTTCCCTCTCTATCTGGGTCGCCCATCCTGAGGCATCTTGCTACTCACCGCCAGGTTGATGGGGGCCTGGACGAGTGGGGCAGCCTGCATACGCCCAGCTCCACAGTGCTGCTTGCTTGATTGAGGCTGCTGCGGATGCGGCACGGGAGCGGGGGTGGACGCAGGGGGCCACCCTCGGCAATGAGCAGGCTGGGGCGCTGCGGCCGGGTGGAGGCAGAACGTCGGATCGCCTCAGTCTGCTCCTGTGCAGCCGAGAACTGCTGGGCCATGTTCTCGACAGTGTCACCGAAAAGGCCGGTCTGGGACACAGGGACCTTGAGGAACCAAACTTTGTCTGCGTCCCTCATGTCGACCAGACACAACTAGAGGTGACGCTCCTGAACCACAAGTGTGGACATTGCCCGACCCAGAGAACTCGTGGTGACCTTCGTCGCTCGGAGCGCGAGATCAGTTGCGGTTCGGAGCTCTTTTAGAACTTCCGGATTGTAACCACCCTCGTGCAGGTCCCTCTGTGCTTTAGCCTGAAGAACCTGCAGTAACGCCGTAGGGTGTAAGGCGGAGGCAGCTTCTCCACAGGCCGTATAAGCATCGCCAGACAGACCAGACGACTACCTACAGACCCGGGAGGGGAGGCAAGGTTCACCCTGCCGGGTGGAGGCGGTATTAGGACACAACTGCATCGCAACCGACCGCTCCACTGGGGGGACCCCCATATACCCCCTAGCTGCACCACCGTCGAGAGTGGTGAGGGAGGAGGAGTTAGCAGGTTAATTTCCGGCAGAAAAAGGTGCCATACACAACCTGGTGAGCCCCTCATGCACCTCTGGGAAGAATGGCAGCGAGAACGCTGAGCCGCCATGACGAGAACTAGATCGAGGCAGAGGCAACGGAGCTCCGTCCCTTTGAGGTAACGGAGCTTGGCCTGCAACTCCGAGATGATCATCTTCCCGCAATGAGAACATGACTCATCCACAAACGCCACCTCAGCGTGCTAAATGCCCAGGGAACGTGAGGCAGCGATCGTGACCATCACCCAGCGCCAGGTAACGACCGCATCCAGATATGCCCGGGTGATACGGTGTCTATAGCAAGACCCACATCGTCTTTACAGAGACGTAACGTCGAGTTTGCCAGACACAACACCGTCTTTAAAAAGACGCACCCGTGAACGCTCTTTTAGGGAAAAAGCTCTTTTAGCGTGCTGAAGTGCACAGGGGAGATGGCCGCCTGCAACACAAACAGGGGGTAGTGCAGCCTGATGTGTGCAACCCACTCGACACGGGAAATCACCACCACTGATTCACATGCCAATGTGCATTGGCTCGTTTAGTTTACACTCGAAGTGGATTGGTCTCTCTAAGCGAGATCCCAATTCGTCGGTCATCTGACGTGATGTCGAGAGTGACCGACTGAAAGGGAACTGATGAATGACTAAATGCAATATATGAAGCTTGGTTTCTTGAAAGTTGAACTTACATTCAGATGGCACCGTGTTGGTTAAGGATTTATAGTAACCTTCTAGAATCTCAAAGTTCTTCTGGTTTATTCTCTCCTGTAAAGATATGTCACCAAATCTGAGAGGGAGACACACAGAGAGCACAGGAATCACATTTCAGCTCAGACATGCTTTCCATTTGTGTGCTTCACTGAGCATTTACGCTTGTAGGGATTATGTTTCATTTCAATCAGTCAGTGCTTGTACCTCTCAGCGATGGTTTGTTGCTCATTTATGCCCACGTTGAAGAGCACGGGGAGCACACGCAGAGGCTTGCCCTCACGCAGCTCATCCGGGAGCGCTTGGAAGGCATGATGTGGGAGAGGCACCTCGACAGTGTAACGGTCTCTGGGACAAAAACAGGTTACATTTCCAAACTCTGTCAATACCAGCATGCAGTTGCTAAATGTACAGGTTCCCACAGCTTCCTTGCAAGTCTTTTTTCCTTTTTTCCAACTCAATTTAGAGTTGAAATTATTTGTCTTATATTATATGTATTATATAGGACAGTAAAGAATTGACAGTAAGTGATGTGAGAGATAGAAAGACACATGAACGAAAAGTACTATGAGTCAGATGTTCAACCGTCAATTCTTTACAATTTTCTAGTTTGGAACCCTGTATATGAATGCACACTGGCAGATACATGCAAACATCCAGTTTACTTATGGTTTTGTGTGTGTGTGTGGTCTCTCTCACCGTCTACCGCTGACGGTGGGCTGCAGGCTGACTGCTTCCTCAGACGCCGCCTCTGTGATCCTGAAGGTCACTCTGTGCAGGTCACTGATCCCCACCTCCATGTCCTCCAGCATCCCTATTTCTTCACCTATGTGACAAACATATGTGTTACTACAGCATATACAAGCTATCTACATGAGGAAATACAATAGACCTCTTCTGATTAAAGTTAAAGATGCCGTTCTGTTCTAAAACTTAAGTTGGCATGCAATACAAGCACGCAAATGTATAAATGCATAAATACATATATTGTATACAGTTGTACAGAGGCTGGATTAGTTTAGTTGTAATATCATTTGTGAAAAAGATCATTGCATTATCTTTATGTTGTCTATATTCTCTAGGTTGTATATCAGTGTAGTATAAGTTGTGCTCAGCAGTGTACACGTTGTGGGTGAAATGAGTGACTTCCAAAAAGGACAAATCCTGGGAGCCTGTTTCGCATGAGCGTTTGTAAACTTAAGAGCCCAGATGTTTGGTGTTTCAAAACAGCCTTCAACGATAATGACTGCACACACTAAGCATGGCAAGACTTCATCAGTGAAGAATAATAGCAGGTGAAAACCGAAAGTGAATGATGGCAACCATTGATTTTGTCCAAACAACACAGAACTACTGCAGGAAAGTGATGGCAAACCTCAAAGTTCACACTGAAGACCGTTTCCGATCACAAAGCCACCATCAATGAAAAACTGCTAAAACTTTAATCACAGACACTATTGCTAAAATGAAAAAAAAGGTGGTGACATCATGAATCGTGATCATAAAACATGGACAGATGGAACACCAAGATGAACTTCTGTCAGCTCAATCAGGCAGATTTTCTCCTTCAACATCTCTGAATCAACCGGCAGATGTTCTGATAGATGACATTCAACTGGAGAAATTCAAAAGTTGTCTTATAATCTCATATGTTCATATTATTTTGTCCAATGCCCTTATATACTGTATCAATTCTTTTTAGTACCGAATGGAGATTGCTACATTGACAGTTCAACGATTCGGAAAAGAGGGATTCATTTTATTTGTGAATCACTTTTACCATTGAGGATGTGGCCATAGGGAGGTTTTGTCAGGTTTCACAAATTTATAAGGGCTAAATTTTGTCCCTAAAGTAAAAGAAAGCATTACAGATTTCTATGTGATATGTGGACCCTGGGAAATAACACTGGGAAAGAACACGTGACTATAACATTTGATAATGCCATGCTCAACCAATTAAGCTCACACAAAAATAACTGGTTTATAAGAATGTTGTCTCTAACTTCAAGGTTTTTATGGTTAACTGAAACTAAAACAAAAAAAAAAAGTAAAATATTTTTAGAATTTTTCATTTTAACTTGAAATAAAATAATTATAACTGAAATAAAAATGAATAAAAAACTACATAAGCATATAAAAAAACTAATGAAAAGGACTAAACAAAATGACTAAAATTTAACAAAAATTTTAATGAAAATAGAAAATATAAAGATAAAAACCAATTCAAAAAGTATAAAACTATGATACTACAATAACACCGTCTAACTCCAACATTCAACATCCATAACTACCAACAAATCCTCTTTAACCAGGAATGTTGCTCCTGGAACATGCTGTACTTCACTATCATATAAGGCACATGTGGTATATCATAAACAACGTAATTCTTTAAACATTAGAGTTATATGGGTACACAGTAATCTCTCCACTGGCATTGCCTCAATGGATAAGCTTTAACTGAGCGAAGCAAACAATCGCAGTCATTCATGAGTCATTCAAACACACTTCATCAAACTAAAATAACAGCCTCCAGCTCTTCACACTGCAAGAACGGTGAGCTAAGGTCAAAATCCTTATCGCGATAAGATGCATGTTCAAGCACTTGACTGTAATCTGCAATCTAAGGCACGTGTTCAGCTGGAAGTCTCTTTATTTCAAAGTTTGGTTGCTGCGGGAAACAGCCGTAAGAACACAGCAATCCTACACAGAGAACTAAAGAGCAAAATAAAGCAATAAGCCACTCAAGGCTCAATTACAGTCATTTTACCACAAATACCGAGTGTCAAAACAGTAGTAAATTAATAACACACAGTCTTGAGTGACTTATTGTTTTTATAAAACAGTTCTAACAGCAATATAATAAAATAGCGATGCAATGATATTACAATTCTGGCTGATAATTACCTTAATGTTAAGAATGATAACCAATATATGGTTATATTAAAGTTCTATATTTTATACTTAAAAAAAATAAATAAATAACAACAAAATCAATTTTAAACACCTCAGTTGAATTCAGGCATTGTCACATTATAATGTAAAGTATGAAAAATTAATATTCATTTTGATATTTGCTAAAGATAAACATTTAATAGTGTTATTAAATCAAGTATTTAAAGAATAAAAACTGAAATGTCTTAAATATAAAATATATATTATAAATAAATAGATAAATATGAGATACTGATAAATTAAAAAAATAAATACATTAAAAATATTTTTAATGACTTATAAGTATATATTACATTCCTATGATGAAAGACACCAAATTGCAATAAACAGGATATATTTATTTTTAAAGGTCCACTGAAGTGCCTTGAAATGTGCAGCGTTCAATGTGTTGACGAAATTTAAAACTTTACAAAATGAAACTAGACTTATTTCACCCCAATGGAAAGCAGATTTACACTGTCTGAACGGTTCCCTATCCCCTATACAGTGCACCTTCACCATATAGAAAACAGTAATTCTGTGAACAAGTGACCAATTTCAGCCGGAGCTTCAGCCTCTATTTATAGTGTAGGAGGCGGGGCGCTTCAGATTCTAGAGAGCATTTGATTGGACAGGAAATCTGATGAGAAGCTGAAGTGCAGGGTGATGTCATCAAAATCGCTGATCCACATCAGTGGAAGTGAGAGACTAAGTTTTGAATGCTTACAGTCGTGGTCAGAATTATTGGCACCCTTGGTAAGCTATGATCAAAAAAGGCTGTGGAAATAAATCTGCATTGTTAATCCTATCCATCTTTTATTTAAAAAAATGTACAAAAATCTAACCTTTCATTGAAGAATAAGAATTGAAAATCTCATTATGAAATAAATGTTTTTCTCTAATACACGTTGGCCACAATTAATGGAACCCTTTTATTCAATACTTTTTGCATCATCCTTTTGCCAAAGAGAACAGCTCTGAGTCTTCACCTATAATGTCTGATGAGTTTAGAGAACATCTGATAGGAGATCAGAGACCATTCCTTCATCCACAATCTTTCCAGATCCTTCAGATTCCCAGCTGCTCCTCTTCAGTTCACCTCACTCATCTTCTACAGGGCTCAGCTCAGGGGACTGGAATGGCCATGGCAGAATATTCCTTTTGTGCTCAGTGACCCATTTCTGTTTTGATTTTGGATCATTGTCCTGTTGTAAGATCCAAGTTTGGCCTATTATAAGATTTCTAGCATGGACAGTCAGTTTTGAATTTTTTTATCTGTTGTTATTTGATAGAAAAATACACCAACAACATTAAAGATGCAGCAGTATATTTCATTGTACACACGGGGTACTCTTTTACTCCTGTGTGCACCAAACCTATCTTGAGTGTTTGCTGCTAAAAAGCTCTTTTTTTTTTGTTTGTTTAATCTGACCATAGAACCCAGTCCTGTTTTTACTTTTCCAGTAGTGTCTGCCAAATGAATATGCTGTAGTTTGTTTTTGGATGAGAGCATTTTCTTTTCTTGATTTTTTTCGTGAAAGCCTCCCGAACAACATGTGGTGATGTCAGAGCTGTTTGGCATTTTAAACTAATCTTTGCTATTCTGCAGCTGTGATCCTTGGAGAGCCTTTAGCTACTCAAACGCTCCTCCTCACTGTGCATTAGGTCAGTCTAGACACACGTCCTCTTCCAGGCAGAAATGGGAATTTTCAATGCTCTAGCTCTTTTCTTAAAGCCACTATCTAATTTGTGAAGCTCAATTATCTTTTGCTGCACATCAGAACTATATTCTTTGGTTTTACTCATTGTGATGGAAGATTAAGGGAATTTGGCCTTTGTTTTCCCTCATATTTATATTCCTGTGAAACAGGAATGGCTGGATAATTTCATGTTCATAATCACACTGGTGTGCTAAAAATGGTAATTATGAATGGAATATACTTCAGAGATATTTTACTCATAAGAAATTCTAAGGGTACCAATAATTGTGGCCATTGTGCGTAAGAGAAAATAATATAATGTTGACAATATAAAGTACTTGCTCTGGCCCTTGTTTTAAATGATTTTGCTCCGTTGTTGTGGTTCTTGTTGTCGTCTGTTGCTATTGTACAAGCAGGATGTAGTGGTTGGTCGGGGTGGAATTAGCCCCGCCCCTCCTCCACTGTGATTGGTTAGCTGTCTAAAAAGTGACAGTGATGAGCTCTGCGTTTTACCAAAAGATGAACATTCTTCAACTCTCGGCACCGAGAAAAAACGCCAATTTAGCCTTTTTTTTGTTGGAGCACACCAGCTTACCGATAACCTTAAAGGGGTCATATGATGCTGCTAAAAAGAACATTATTTTGTACTGCTGTTCCTGAAACCACGCCTTCTTTCTTTGCGTGCACATTTGGGCGGTGTTATGCAAATCTTCCCACATAGTGTGGTAGATATGTGGGGGCGTGTTCGAACGAGCCGTTTTAGGTAGGTGTGGCTAACTCTTAACTTTTATAAAGAATATCTCTTTGGATTTGAGACTTTAGTCTTTACAACTTTACAGATCTTCTTTATGCACCAAGAGCTTGTAACACTCCAAAGAGAAAGGAAAAAATGAAATCGCATCATATGACCCCTTTAAGGCTAGCATATTCATACAAAAGGCTAAAAAACTTCAAATTTGATTTCAAGTGGACTTCCAACAAAAATATGGACTTAAAAAAAATCTTCCAAAAGTAATATACACACTGAAACAATTTGGTGTAGAAACCATTTGCAGTAAATTTTACAATTAATTAGAAAGAAGTGGCAAGTCACATGTGACATTTTTAAGTACATAAACATACTCCAAAAATCGTTGTTTTATTAAAAACTTCGAAGTGCTTTTATTACTTTTATTCTAGAATTTTTTACAGTGCAGTTCATTATTTTAACATTAGGCTTATGTTTGCCAAGCAATGTAGAAACTTGGCAATTCATATGAAATGTGTGGTCATATGTGCATTCTTATCTTAAAATAGTTGTTTTTGTTGCATTTAGCAGGTTATTTTGGTGTGATTGCACATCTGATGGCGGATACTCACTGTAAGTACTCAGCAGGCTCTCAAACTGGGCCACCAGCCCGACGGCGTGCAGCTGTCTGAGAAAGCCCTTATCTTCCAAACCTGCGTATAATCGCATGACAAATCCACATGCCAGCGCAGCCAGCTGCGGATACACAACATATATATCTTCACCAATAAAATGTGAAGCATAAACATAAACAAACTTCTCGACAAATTCCATCAATGCTGAGTGTTTGATTTAAACACAGTTTGGAATCTGTGGTCTAGTTTTCCATCAAAGTTAGAACACAAAACTCTTTTTTCAACACAAGGCCAGATCGTGTGTCTCTGAAATGAGGAGTGTTTGGCCACTCACTGCCTGGCTGAAGACAGCGTCCCGTCTCTGCTGCAGCTGCAGGCCCTGTGCCGTGCTGCACACCGCCTCCTGGAGCAGGACAAAGCTCACGGAGCGCCTGGCTCTCTCCGCCACTTCTGCCACACACTCCTTCAATGACTGAATCAGGACGCCGAGCTGATCCCGCCAAACTGCAGCTGTCAGGGGAGGATCTGAGGAAAAACAGGACAAATGTGAGCCGCTTTTCCAGTAATGAGTTTTCCGAACCATTTGAGAGACCTGTTTTCCACAAGTACACAGATGGTCAGTATTTATAAAAGAATGAAACTGGATATTTGAGATCGCATAATAGCTATAGAGAGCAGCAGGGATGATTTATTAACACTTCCATCCTTCTGACGTCAATGTGCTTTTGGTTAAATGTCTGAAATAAGGTCTGTGGTGAACACAAGTCAAGATATTTTCATGTTTTATTTAACATTTTACAGTCCCGTGCCTTCCACAGACAATACAAATACATATAAATACATTTAGACCACTTAACTTAGTGATTGATTGCTATCGGGATGTGAAGAGACTTTCAACCAGCATAACTGTTACGCCCTGACTAGAGTAAAATTTTAATGAGCATAATAATTTTACAATGCAGTTGGGAAATTTAGCTTCAGGAGCCGACAGAGCCAAAATAACAAACAAAAACCAACAAATTATTATATAACTCTAACTGCCCTAGATGTTCTGGCGATAGAATTTATAAAATTTTTGTTAATTTGTGAAGATTATCATGAGGAACAAAACGGATAAATCCTATTGGATATTGGAACCAGGGTGATGCTAACTTCAGGATTAGCCTACAAAAATACAATCATCACTGCAGCGCTCTATTGGCTAGAGAAACAGCAAGTTTTAACATGAAAGGTCACTGATATAAGTGTTTATATTTAAAACAATATGCATGAATATTATTATGAGTCGTTCACAATCAGAGCAGGAATGTGCATTAAGTGAATAGGGTCCATTTGGACGTAGGCTTTAAAATCAGACCAAAATGATGCAAAACTGACCAAAATGAGACCAAAACATGGAAAATGAACAGTTCTGGTTTCTTCAGCAGAAGTCGGCACAAGCCATGTTTACACTTGCTGTAAGTAAACCTGAATTTAATGTAGCAGTCATTTGTTTATTCTTTGTGCAGTTATGTTCAGGTTTTTTGAGGATGATGGCATGTCACAACCAGTCTATGTTGACTTTTATCTAATCTGACTCTCTTGCTCCAAGTGACAGATGAAACACACAAAAAAACATAAGTATTTGCATTTCCTTTTGATGAAAGTTAATAAGCCTGTTTATTTATGCATGCATGACCTCATGGTTAGTTGCATTATATTATTTATTATTATATCATTTAGCGTTATGTTTAACCCTGCTAGGTAAAGGAAAGGATTTAATGGAATAATGAAGTTATAAAAATTTTACAATCTTCAATTAATAAAGTTTCAATCTACTATTCTACTATAATCTACTATTATAAGAATGGCAGAGTCTGTTTTTGAGTGCTGTATAAAGGAATTAAAAAGGATACAGCTCTCTCCTATATAAAGCAGCCCACCCGCTGGTAAGATCAAGAAAGCAGATCAAGCATTAGAATAAGCTGTGTTCAATTCTTGAGGCCTGCACGAGTCTGTTTGTTTTCTAAACTACAGACTAAGACAACTACAACTCTTATCAAAGTCCTGAGAGCCGGGACACAGAATTAGAGAATTAGCCGATATGACTAAGTCTTGGCTTCTTTGTCCAAACACGGTCTGGAATATATAAGAACAACAATGGTTTTGCTCCATCAACAAAAATAGCTCCAAATAGCTCCAAAACACATGAAGTAATACACAAGCAATACACAGTAGTGGAGTTTCATTAATGAATCAGTGTTTTTGAACGGATCTCTTGAACAAATGATTCAATGATATACTAATCAAGACAGTTACATGCTTTGTTCTTGAACTAATTAATGCTTTTGAAAAAATTTGCTAAACAAATGATTCATTGACTCATTTGTAAAGACAGTCACATGCTTTGCTCCTGAATTAATTAACGTTTTTGAATGAATTGTTTGAAGAAACAATTAAATGACAGTCACTTGCTTTGTTCCTGACTGAATCAGTGTTGTTGAATGAACTGGTTGAACAAACAATTCAACTTCCCCTTTAAAAGACAGTCACTTAATTTGCTGCTGAATTAATTAATATTTGTGAACAAATTAGTTGAACAAATGATACAATGATTTCACTCATAATAGCAGCCCTTTGTTTCACTCCTGACTGAATCAGTGCTTTTGAATGAATTGCTTGAATGACAAATTCAATGAGTCACTTCATTCCAAAATAGATTTTTTAAACAAATTGGTTGAAAAAAAAAAAATGATACAACAACTCACTCATAAAGACAGTCACTTGCTTAATTTCTAACTGAATCAAAGTTTTTGGATGAATCAGTTGAACGAAGGATTCAATGACTTACTCAAACAAATAATTCAGAGACTTTCTCATAAAGACAGACACTTAATTTGTTTCTGAATGAATCAACGTTTGTAAACAAACTGGTTGAACAAATGATTCAATAATTCACTTCATCCCTAAATTAGTTTGAGTGTTTAAACGAACCAGTTGAACGAACAATTTAATGATTTATTTGTAATATTTTGACATATTTTGTGGTTTTCACATTTTTTACCACATCACTAATCACAGAAAATATAATTTATACATTATCTATTTATATAACTTTACATTATATGTATAATTTTAATAATCACTGTAAAAGTATTTAATAAACTTGTTCAGGCACCTGCCATTTTCCTCATAAAAATCAATTCTAAATGTCAGATGCAGCTGTCCTGCTGAAATTTCACATGAACTAGCTTGTTATCCTTGCCATTAAATCATTTGTCGTTTTAGACAAAAGTGCATGAGAAAAGCACTTTAATCTTTAATCTATGGACTGAATCTGCCTTGCTCCTTTCATTGTGCCTCCGTGTTTTGCAACAAGCTCTGCGTTTGAATGTGTTTTGCATTAGTCACCAGATTTTTGGCACTATTATCCTCATTTGAATTGAGTGGCTTTTTTCAATGACCCAATTTCATGGAAACATTCATTTAAAGAGTCACGTTCAGTAGTTTGGTTCCCACCCAGGGTGTATTCACACCGATGATCGGAATTCCCAACTTTATTAAATTCCTTATTTTTTTTATGTGCATGACACGAGACATCAACCTAAACCGGTCTGACATCATTTCATCACGACTTTGAATGACAGCTGATTTCATGTGTTATGTGAAGTATTTGCACAGACACAATAACGTTTTGTACAATATGTTGCATGTAATGCTGACATTGTTGCAGAAAATGTAAACACTGATGACTTTGAGTTCTTCAAAGATGCAATCTTGTGTGAGAAAACATTAGCATTAGCACACATTTGCATTCTTGTTAACAAATGATTCAGTACTTTTGCAACATTAAAACTTTGAAACTGCTGCGGTGAAAATATATTAGCAAGCGGACAATATTTACAAAATCCGTAATAAAGAATCAATAACCAATTGCTTTAACATGACATGAAGGCTTAACCTTTTTGCTGAGAATTCCAACTTTTATGGTTTAAGTTTGATATTCAAAATTATGAATTTACAAAATTGTCAGAAATGAAGTATAATATGAGCTCAGCATAAAAAAAAGCATCAATGACATTCAGTAAATTCATTATACAGTGAATTGCAACCAGATGAACCTCAGCATGTAGTTGGTGTCCACATGGTGGCAGCATTGGCTGTATTAAAATCTGTATTGAGGTTTTGCACTCTTCTACTGCTTGTCATTGGTTGTGCAGGTTTTTCAGTTTAATAGCACTGAGTATCAGAAGTTGCCTTTAACTATTCTGGTCTGACAGAAGATTCATGGATGGTGCTAATATTCATCTCTCAACTGACATGTCTGACATGTGCTCGAGAAAAAAAAAGAAAAAAAAAAAGGCATGGGTTGTTATTAAAGCGTGCAAAAAAAGCGCACAACCAGTATGTGTGTACGTCTCGAGTGAAGTGGAAAATTAGAAACTTTTCTAGGACGCCTAAAGTTGGCGACACGTGTGGAATATTATTATTAAAATTAGGAGGAACAAAATGACGATATATCTGAACATTTTTGTGCACTATTCTCTACTTAAGACTTTTTTTATTTATAACAAAATTCAGTAAAACTTGAAACCTTTATGTACAATGCATTATATAGGTATTCATAATGTACGCTGACACAATATATATACATAACCATAAATAATTCTAACCAACATTAAAATGCATTATTACATTTGGTGTTACATCTGAAACAGATTGTTTGTCATGTTTTAATGCATTTTATTTTATTAAGGTGTAGCAATGAATATATAAGTATTAAAATGTATTATAACTGTGGTTACAATTATTAATGGGATCAAACAATGCACTGTAAGGTGCATTACAAGGCATATTTAATACATTAAAATATTTTTAATAATGCATTATATATACAGGCTTCAAGTACTGTAAAGTGTTAACCAAAATTCAAATGATAAATCCAATGTAATTTCAAATCCTCATAATGGGAAGCAAAAAAAAAAAAGTCATTTTCATGATCAATCCAGAACAACGTGATAATTAATTAAATCAAAAGCATGATAATGAAATGATACAAATGATAAGTTTTTCTTTTTTTCCACCGTTTATGCTTCACCATAAAAGGAAATGAAATCACCTTTAGGCAGTTAACTGATCATCCAAGCAGCTGTTTGATGCATATTTGATGTATTATTTTATCATTTAAGCATTGGACGGTTCGTTGCAGCTGCAGTCTTAAGTTTTTATAGATCATTTGAGCATTTCTAATCTTTGTAGTTTGCCGTACCGGGACTGTGTGAGGTGATGACGTCAGCGAGCGTGTGGCTGGGTGCTGATTCCAGGTTGTTGTTGTCTTGCTCCTGTAGTTTATCCACCAGGGCGATGACACAGTTCAAACTCTTCGCCACACTGGCCCAGACCCTGTCCTAGAAGAGTCAAAGCAAATGTTAAAGGACCAGCACGCACATCGCAGAAACCTGACATGTAAATATGAGTTTATGGGCTAACCAGACACAGCTGTGATCAGCAATGAGTGTGCGAGTAACTTTTGTATTCTGCACAAACATGGAACAATTTGATCTTATTTGATTCATCGTCTCGGATGAACGGATGTACAGATTTTAGGGGCAAAAGTTTTATGTATATATATTATATATATATATATATTTCATTTATATATAATTACTAGTGGATGCGGTATACTTTTATTATTTAGAAAGTGACCAATAATCTGTGATCTATGTATTTGATGGTCAAGTGCGTTCTCTCATCACCGCTGCTGCGCGTGAATATGACGAATCACAACACCACGGAGACCCGAGAAACAACTGGGATTAAAGTCCAAAACCTGACTTGAAATAACCTAACAAATCAATCGGGGCTAAAGCGGTTCCATAAATGACAAATTAAGTTCACACAATCTCACTAATTTGTGCACGCTTATTCTTAAGCAGCCCTTAATATCGATCATGGATCAAATCGATCCACCATGGCAAACAGCGAATATATCTGTGCTGTTTAATGCATTTGAGACGTCGTGTTTTCCTCAGTGCATAACTGACATGTCACAGGTATATTTTTCATCTGTAAATGTTAGAAAGTCATGCAAATATATCCATTTTGCTGTCAGGAGTGTGCGAGGCTTACGTGAGTGAACGAGCGCTGCTGCACGCATGCGCACTAAACAGACGGCGTGCAATCGAATAGGAGCGCAATAATTCTGAGTAAAATATACATTTTGCTAAAATAGTTGTTGTTAGACATTAAATGTGCCTTTTGTAGAATTTTAAACCTTCATTTAAGTGTATTTTTATGATAGCAGTAACTGTAAAGGGACTATTGTAATGGGTAAATCAAATGTAAGCTAGTTCAGTACTAATTACTAAGCTACTAAGTACTAAGTTAATGTGTGTTTCTTATAGCAGTTTAGAAGTCATTTTCTTTATTTATTTTCATTTTAATTCAGTGATTTTAACTTTTAATTTAGTTATTTTAATGCTTTAAAGAGCAATAATGTTCAAATGTTCTGCTGTCTGTTCTGCAAACTATAAAAGGTACAGCTGTAATAAAACCAGAGAGAAAGGCTGCATGGCTAGAAACTAAAAAAAACTAGAAATTAAAAAAAAAAAGTCAAATAATAGTATGTGAGACAGTGGTAATGTCATTGTGTTCCTATTGGTCAGTAGAGGAGCTTAGCTTAGCCTGACAGTTAGCCTGCTTTAGACCAGGTTAGTTTCCCAG